AAGACCCCGTGAATCAGCCTGGCTTCCTCTGAGGACGCTAAGGCCTCACTCCCATACAGAGAGAGACCAACTCCTGGGAAGCTGGTGGCTAGATGTGACCTACCAGCCTGAGGAACATCACTGGGGCTGGTAATGGTGGTGGTGACGGCCATGCTTCTCCCTGGGGCCTTGGTATCAAGCCATCAGCACAAGCAAGGCCTAAGAGTATATCTTGCCCCGTAGCCCTAGTTCCATCCTGGCAGAGGCCCTAATGTTCTGTCTTCAGTGATGAGCATACAGCGCAACCCTGCCTCCATTTCCCTCAGGAAAGATGCAAACTTCTCTATTTAGAATCAGAGTACTAACCTGCAATGTTCTCTCCTTGATGAAAAGACCTACAAATGTCACATGGTTCCTCACACAAGGGGAAACCTGTCTAATGCCCAGGCCTTGCGTTCTACACAGTGTTTCCAGAATTTGTCACTGTTTCTGTGCATCTGGGTAGTAACTGAGAGACAGGACATTCCCATTTGAGGAAGAAGAGGCCCCACAGGAACGCACTTCAGCCCCCAGCATCTCTATTCAGGTGCTAACACCTCACTCAGTACAGTCCCGTCTGGCCAGCTTAGTGAGTGTTGTAGCACAGGAAGGTCTCCAGGAGAGCAAGTCTGGCTCCCAGATGCTGGGGAGGCACCCTAGATGATGATGAGAGCCGTTCCCATTTCAGGAGCAGGCAGGGGACCGGAGTGAAGGCAGTGTTGCTGCACAGGCCATGGCAGGCAGTGTTGGGTCTCCAGGCTGCCGGCGTCACCACAGAGGTGGTTCAAGTGGCCCCCGGGGAAAAGATGGAAAAGCATTGCATGGAAGGGAGTGAGGAGTGTCACTGGAATGGCCTGGCCATTCAGTGACATTCTCAAAGAGCAGGGGAGTGGCGGAGTGCGGGAAGACCGGGGCCCTGGGACCTCTCTGTCTAGACGTTTCCAGGCGGCCAGTGCAGAGCCCTCACCCCTTCCTTTCTCCTCCGGCTTTTCCTTCCCTGATGTGCAATGCTCAGGCAACTCTGCCTTGCCCTGCACTGCTCCACCTAAGGGCAGGAAGGGTGGTGGCCTTGGCCCAGCAGACCACCCTTGACCTAGACCATGATGCATGACCTAGCATGTGACCTCTGACCCCACAGGCCGGGCTCTAGCAGACAAGTCAGGTAGACTGGACGAGAACAGTAACAGTAAGATCTCTAGGACTTTGCTGAGGTTCCCACATCCCTCATCCTGTTTCCTTAACTGGCCCTTGTAGATAAAGAGAGACAAAACGGTGTGGGACAGGGAGAGGAAGACAGCTGCCTCAAGGAGTGTGAGGTGGCCCATGATTACCCACCAGCCAGGTGAGGCCAACAAGGAGAGAGCCCCATGCTCCCCTCTACCTAAGCTTGAGTCTCACCGTGTACATTCAGCTCTTGAGATGGCCTTGCCTGGGGACCACAGAGCTGAAGGCTCTGAGCAGGACTCTCAGCATCAGTCTTCCCTTCCTCATCCCTCTGCTACATGTCAACAACGCTACAGGGGTCTTTTTAGCTGGCTCAAAAAATAATTTCTAATGCTAAGAATGGGTCTTGCCTTGCATGTTCCCGAGGAAATTATTTGTTGTGCAGTCAAACTGGCCTTGGTTTTCCGTGACAAGTTCCAGCAACCTAGCTTTGGAACACTTGGTAAACTCCTCTGGTAATAACTTGACATGTTCCTTTACCCTTGGATATCCTCAACATTTCACAAACCTGGACTTTCCCGCCTGTTGTTCGGAGACACCTGTTAGGGACATTAGGAGCTAAGGGTCCAGGGCAAACTCCAGGGAGCAGCAGCCAGTGTTATGCTTGGCTGTGACGGCATCCAGCTGAGGGGGCTGCAGAAGCAAGCGGTACAATGGCCCCTTCAGCCGGACATCTCGGCAGCTGGCCAACAGCTTACATGGGGATTTGCTCTGCACTCTCACAGGCGTCCTGGGATGGAGGAGGCAGCGTATGGAAGTATGACGGGAAGATGATGGATTAGAGGCCATAAGTCTCATGTCAGCCATGCCATGAAAACATCATGCTGTGGGGTTATGATAACCAGAGTGGGGCGGAGGGAAGGACAAGACCTTCGGAGTCTCAGAGAATGTGCCACACGTACCAAGAAAGAGGAGGGACCTGCAGAGGAAGGGCTCAGGAGCTTTGCTGGATGCATCCTCAAGAGAAGTCTATGAAACAGAGGAGAGGGCTATTGGAGACGGGGTGACTAGCCCTGATCTGTCACAGACGAACAGATGAAATGTGATGGGCAGAAGGGTTCCTCCAGTTTATCATGTGGGGCAGTGCATTTTCATCCCCTTTTCATGGTAGTTAGCTTTTCTCAGGTACATACACACAGTGTACAGTGTGTTGGGCCAGGTATCATGCATCTCTGGAAAACCAGCGTGATTGTCAAGGCTGACAGTGAAGAGACTCACAGGACACTTGGTCCTCTGAAGACAGCCGCGCACCACCTCAGAGTTTCTTTGGGAATACTGGTGTGATGGTTAATAGTGTGAACCCAGCAGGAGCTAGGGTGACAGCAGACAAATCTCTGAACAGATCTGGATAAGGAGGTTGGAGGCGGGAAGACCCACACTAACTGTGGGAGGCACCGTTCAAGGGCGTTAAAGGGCCCAACTGACAGGAAAGGAGAGAGCAAGCATCTCAGCAGGGGTCATCTCCCTCCCTTGGCTTCCTGACTGCAGAGGCAAAGTGACCAGCTGAAGCACAGTGCTCTAGCCAGGACCCCTGGACCATGAGCGACTGCCCGACTCAGGCTGTGAGCTGAAGTGGGCCATTCATCCCTGGAGCCACTTCTGGTCAGTCCTTCTGCCACAATGGCAAGGAAGGGACTCACAGCTGATGTCCATGTTTGCCACAGTGGCCAAGTCAGAGACACAGCCCAGGAATCTGTCTAGAAGTGAGCAGGTGAATTGTAATGTGTGTAGGTGTATGTGTGTGTATGTGTGTGTGTATGTGTGTGTATGTGTACATGTATGTGTGTGTGTGTGTGTGCTTGATAGAGTTGTATTCAGCCATGAGGAAGAACAAGATGGTGCCATTTCAGAGACGTGTCTGGTGCCAGACATCACTGTGCTGGCTGAAATAAGCCAGACTCACAAAGACAAATACTCTATGCTTTCTCTAATAAGCAGAACATTGCTCAAAGTTTTAAACAGAAATGAAAGGACGAGGGGGACTTTATGAAGAAGGGAACAATGGGAAACGGGGTGACGAGGGACGGTAACAGCGAATATGATGAGAGAAATACACTGTGTGCGTGAACAAGGTCAGGCCGTAACCCATCATCCACTGTGACTAATATGAAGGAAAAGCAAAAGCGTGTTGGCACTTACCCTTGTTCGTTCACTGCTTCAGCAAACCACGATTTAGTTCTGAGAAAGAGAAAACGAGCCACCTCAAGATGGGCTCGGCCTTCACCACTTCCACCTGGTGACCAGCGTCTACCTTGCCACGGGTGACTGAGAGTCACTACAGCAACAATGCTGCCATAGCTTGAAGCAGGGCCTGGCAGAGGTGATTTCATTGCCTGGAGAGGAGAGGAGCGCAAAGTCTGATGAGGTGGGCACGTAAACTCAGCAGTGGTTTTGTGACCCTTCGGGCCCACTTTTCATTTGCGCACTTTCTGTCTTCTTGGTCTTTCTCTTTTGATTTCTGTTTTCCATGGTTTCTTTTTCCTCTCTCCCTGTGTGTTTCTTTTATTGTTTGGTTTGGTTTTTGTTTGTTTTTAAAGAGACAGAACGAACATAAAGTTGTGTAGGTGGGACCTGGGAGGAATCGGGGCAGGAGCAAACATGATCAGAATATATTGTTCTGATTTCCAATTGGGGTTGGGGAGTTAGCTCAGTGGTAGAGTGCTTGCCTATCAAGCGTAAGGCCCTGAGTTTGGTCCTCAGCTCAAAAAAATTTTTTTCCAATTAAAAAAATTAAAATATACATATGAATATAAATGAAAAAAATCAGTAAAGATGGGGGCCAGGTGCTAAGAAGAGTCACTACCACTTGCAGGGACAAGGACGGAGGGACTGGTGAGCCATGGAAGCAGTCCTAGGTGGAAAATGCCCTGAATTGTAGCAACTTCACCAAACATGCTTGAGGGGCTGAGTCAGGAAGCCGGTGGTCACCCAAAGGAGGGATGGAGCAGTTTGAGGAATGAAACTGAGAGACAGTGAGAAGGAAAGTCCACAGGCACCAGTGTGGCGCCATACTACGTGCATGTTATGGGGCAGTGGGAACACCTTGCTGTGGCCAGTCATGATGAAGCATGGCAGGTTTGGACTAGGTGACTTGTGTTTCTGAGAAGTGGACTTGGTGCTCCGCGGCTCACTCTTTGAGTATCCATAAGCGCATGGACACATTTCTCCAGATCCTGAGAGGATGGCCTCCACAGGGCGTAGGTGACTCTGAAGTTCTACCTACCAGGCTGTACTGCCTGTAGACATGGTTGGCAGCCACCGTACAAAATCACCCCAAACGAAACAGAAACCACTTTCTACTATTTATACTATTTATCTCTGGAGGACAAAGATGCAACCCTGCTCTCTGTGGCTGCCAGCCTACCCTGTCCTGCCCTGCAGCCACAAGCTCATGGCCTCTGCCCCCTGGTTACACAGCTCCTCCTCATAAGTCTTCTTTGCCTGTGTCAAATCCCTCTAGCCTCGCTCTTAAGTATCAAAGCAATGGGTCTAGTGCCTGTTCATCCCCATAGCAACCCAGAGAAGCCAGCCTAGCTCAGCCCCATCTGTAGGTCACAGCCAAATGCTTGTTGAGAGCTAGTCTGGAATGACACTGGCTTAGTGAGACACTCAGGAAACCTGGTCACACCTATGTCCTTGTGTTGTCACGTGAGTGTGGTGACATTTTGTTTGTGCTCTAACAAATAAAGCTTGCCTGGAGATCAGAGTGCAGAGCTAGCCACTCGAGGCCAGGAAGTGGTGGCACACACCTTTAATGCCAGCACTTGGGATCTCATGCCTTTGATCCCAGTACTTAGAAGGAGAAAACAGGAAGTGATATGGTTGGACAGAAAGAGGAAGTGATAAGGCGGGGTGCAGACAGGAGCTCGGACCCTTTCAGTCTGAGGATTCCTAGAGGTAAGAAGTCTTTCTAGTGGCTGGCTGCTCTGCTGCTCTGATCTGTCAGCATTTACTCCTGCATCTGACTCCAGGTTTTTGTTATTAAGACCAATTAGGATTCGCACTACCCATGAGATCAAGACTCTGTCTTGTGAATGACTAAAGAACCATAAAGCAGTTGGAACCGAAAGTGTCCATTGCCTGGGATGCCTGAAAATCTGGGAAGGAGGAACACACCTGGGTTCCTTGACCTCTAGTGACTGCTAAGAGGTAAGATTAGCCTGTATGGTCTGAGTGGGGAAGAGTCCACACACCACAGCAGACTCTGTTGATAGAACACAGTGGATGTGTTCACAAGGCCTGTCTCCTTCCCCACTTCTGGCTCCAGAAGGAATGCCCACAAGAGGTAAGAGACTGTCTGTAAAGATGCTGGAGTCACAGCAGACTCTCACCTTTGGTAGGAACTGCGTCTTTGCTTGCCTGTTCTTCAGGTGAGGGGCGGGTGAAGTGAGGTCCTGTTCCTCCTAAGTCCAGGCTCTGGCTGTGAACATGTCTGTCTAGATCCTGATCTTATTGTAGACATCTGCTCTAAATCATGACTAAGGTGAAGGGGTAAAACTGTCTCATGGGGCCAAGGCCTCACTACCAGCAGATTTGCCTGATCACTGAGACATTTAAGTGGAGAGACTGGACTCACACTAAGAAGAGTCTTGGCCTGTGTTGGGTAGTAATCCTGTGGCTGTGAACATTGCCCATTAGAATGTCAATCAGGTACCCCAATTATCCATGGAGGAGCAAGCAGAAAAGTAGATGCTAAGACAAGTAGCCAGGCACAGACATAGAATATGGCTGAGTGAGAATTCCCCAGGTTTCTTACCAGGAGCGGTGCTATGGTATGAGTGGTATGAAAAAGAATGGCCCATAGGCTCATCTGTTTCAGTGCATTGTCATCAGGGAGAGGCACTCTTCGAGAAGGATTAGGAGGTGTGGCCTTGTTGGAGGAAAAGTGTTGTCCCTGGGGTGGGCTTTGAAATTTCAAAAGTCGAAGCCAGACCCAGTGGCTCTTTCTTCTTGATGCCTGGAGATCTGGATGTAGAACTCTCAGCTCCTTCTCCAGGACCATGTCTGCCTGCACGCTGCCATGCTCCTCACTGTGATGATAATGGACTAAAACTCTGAAACTGTAAACCAGCCCCAATTAAATGTTTTCCTTTGTAAGAGTTACAGTGGCCATGGTGTCTCTTTACAATGATAGACCAGTGACCAAGACATGAGGTGAGAGTCAGCAGAGGCCCACATCTTAAGGGTGGACCCTCCTCTGGTCCTGGCTTTTGTCCCACCATTTACAGTGGCTCAGAAGATTTACAATGAGCTTCCTGCCCTACAGATCTAGGACTCCACAGCCACGGGTCTTGTGGCTCCCTTGTGGCCCCCTTGGGGCTGTGAGAACATCCTCAGCTTCCCACCATGGCGTCTGCAGAATTCCCACTCTGAGTATCTTGCTTTAATCAGAAACATGTCCTGAAACAATCAGGGGACAACTGTGCCTCTTTTACTCTCAGGAAGATACAAGATTAATTTTCTAAAAGTGAATTCATTTTACTTCGTTGTGGGGTTTTTGTTTTGTTTTTGTTTGTTTTTACTTATCTCAATGTAACATTCATTCACACGTCAGCATGTTCTGCCCTTTGAGAGGAACTCACCCTCACAACAGACAGAAAACACTGCACAAAGTATATGTTTCTGAAAGGACAGCACAGAGATCCCGGGGTGCCGTTGAGACCAAATAAGAAGGAAGCTCTTGAAACAGCCATTTATTGAGTGATGGCTAATGTAAATCACAATATTGGATTAAAGTGAAATTGCAGTTGGTAGGATTTGAGAAGACAAAAGGTTTGTTATCAAAGCCATAATTATTTAAAAGTGGATCCCACCACAAATCCACAACTCTCATGCAGCCGCAGCTTTCCACGGGTCTCAACCCCTCCTGTGGAGTCCAGCCAGTGCCATTTAGAGTTCTTTGTCTAGAGGTTGACAATCCATCCTCATCAAAATCACACTCACAAAACCGAGACAATTAAACATCTCTCTGTACAAGTGTCTCAGAATGTCACGTACACACTCCGACGAAGGCCTGTCCTCAATGACCAAAGAGAGCAACCCGGTGTGAACCAGAGGAAAGGAACAGAATTGTTAAGCAACCCTTTGCATTTTAAGCAACATTTAATTAGAAACACACTTTAACCACCAAAATGATAAAAATCCAAGAGATTAAAATTTGAGTGTCAATTATCATAAAATTCATCATTGTAATTCTTATTAAAACTCACTGTTTAGATAGGTAATGATTTTATAATATGCCAATTTGCATAAGGAGCCCTGAGATGGCTTATTATTTCGATTCCACACAATTACAATGCCAGCCCCATACATCAGAGCTCTCAGCAATGTAAAACCACGGCGCTAATTAATAAGCCATTTACTGACTGCAGCTAGTTACCGCGGTCCTGCAGCTGACCTCGAGAAGACGAGCCATCTCTGAAGTGCCTGTGTGTAACTACAAACATAATGGCGTGCCAGGAGGGAATCATTAAAAATAATTTACACAAGCCTTCATTTACAAGATCTTTTGATAGCACGCTTCCCCGGTGTTTAGATCCGCGGTGCAACCCCGACCATTTGGGAAGGGCCAAGCGGGGGAGTGAAGGAGGGTACCTAAGTGGTTAATTAAGAGCCATTCGGACGCCACAAGAGTCTCCTGAAAAATCCCTCTGATGTCTGCAGTGTCAAATGTCTCTCACAGGAAAAGCCACCAGGGGCAGCAGCCATCGAGGGCTAATTACTGGGGACAGGAGCAGCTGAGAATGGTCGTCATGGGCTCGTGCCCGGAGCACCCAGGCTCAGGATTGAGCGCAGCCATCTTTTGTCTGGCTGGACTGGCAGGTGAGCAATGAGGGCGCTTGGAACGAGCAGGTACCGGAGACAGCTGAAGAGTGCTCTGCACCATCCATCCATCCCTGCCCGGACCATGAAGCCCACAGTAGCACATCCCTCCAGGAGAGCTTAAGCATCCTCGGAAAGCGGTCTAAAGAGCACAGGCTCCCTCAGTTGGTCCTTTCTAAAAGAAATAAAGAAACCACAATAACAAACAGTTTTTTTTTTTTAAGCCACCTAGCTCATCAGAAATTGACCCTGGGTGGCTCTCAGTGCCACAGAAAGACAGCGGAAGTGCTGAGTATTTCACTGTGGGAAGGGGTGCTGTAGGGCTCATTGCCATATAAAACATTTCTACAAGCCTTGTCTGACTTAATATTTTTAGGAAACAGGGATATTAGCAAAATTGACAGATCATTGGGAAAAAAATAGTTTTTGAGAGCAGGAGACAGTGTGGGCAGAGAAGCGGGTAAGTCTAAAATAATTAGTCCTGCGCCTAAAAAAAAAAATAAAAAAACCTAACCTAAAACTCCTATGTAAAAGCCCAGACATGTTAGAGTGTCATTGCAGATCAGAACGGAAACTCTGAGCCTTGGGAACAAACAGACGATGGGCAGCAGAACCCAGGACCCAGACAGGTTTCACCCTGTAAGTCACCTAGCATTCTTATTTTTGTTTAAACTATGCTCAAAGCACCTGTCCCCAACGTATTTGGCCCAAGAAATTACTAAAAACTACTTTCCTCTAATTTGGGGTGAATGTTCAGTTCTAAATGGTTAACAAATGCACATTTTGGGTGGCAAAGCTGTCAGCAATCTCCAAGTCAGCACTGGGGGTCTTAACCACGCATTCAGAAACAACATATTTGTCACAACCAAGGAAACCCAGGTCTCTGGAGCCTTTTATGGTGAGGAAATAAAAGACATGTTGTTCCCGTCTTTAAATAAATGGGTGTGAGTTTCCCATGCTGAACTCAAAGGCCCGGCTGCCCTGAATACAGGAGAGGTTTATGCATGTCGTGAACTGCTGAGAAGGCTGTGTGGGGATGAGTTCAGACACTTAACTGCACAACTTTTATTGTAATCCCAGTCTTTTAACGCTGGCTTTTGCCATGGAGAAGAGCTTCGAACGTAAAGCATCCTTTGAAGTCCAGACAGTAGGAAGACAAAAGGCAAGGAGACAAAAATCAGCCTGAGGATGGGTGTCGAGCAGCACCCCATCCCTGCGGGGACCATCTCCCTGAGCGCCCCTCCTTCCGGCAGGGCCTGCGGGATGTGCAATAGGAATGGGTTTGGCTCCTCAGCTTGTGTACACATGATTGGAGGGTAGCTGTCTGTCCGAACGAAGCAAGGAAGAACTACCCAGGGCAAGATCCCACCTGGCTTTGTGCAACCAGGTGCAGCAAGTGCAGAGGAGATGCCATGCATCCCAAGATGCTCCTGGTCGAGGGCCCCCTTCCAAATCACAGGAGAACCAAACTGCATGGGCAACCATGAGCATAGCGTCTGAGACATGCTCTAATTGACACCCATCTCTTCCGGCATCTGCCTCTCAACATTCTCCTCAGGAGAGAAAGGTGGGTCCCTGGGGGGGCACACAGCAGCAACTGCCTGATTCAAGAGACCCAGTAGATGTCTCTCCACACACCTGACTGGCTTGCAGCTCCCACAAGCAAATAGTGTGATAATTAAGAGTAATGCAAAAAAAGGGGGGGACTTAGATATTAGAACCCATGTCGGCTCATATGAATAATTTTAATTAAGATGATTCCCAAACCAATGGGACCCTTAAGCCGTGTATCCTTGGAGAAAAAGACATTCACACTTTTAAAAGTTACATAATGTTTTGCTTCAAAAACCAAATAAAATATTCAGCACATTAAAGTTTCCACTATAATCCTGGCCTCCTGATCTTTCACATTTGTGGTTAGAATTTTATTTTTAAGCTGTCTGAGAGATAGTATCAAAGCCTCTTGCAGGTCATATGGCAAGCTGCACCAATGCAAGGGTCTTCATGTTTATAACCCTTGTTCACCAAGCCCCTTTTTAGGCATTTTTAATTATGCAGAAAAGCAAATTATTTAATATGGAACAGCAGTCTACAGTACACCAGGTAAAATGACAAGAGTGATTCTCTTAATGCACGGAGGATTTCACAGTCGGGAAAGGTCAGTTTGGTAAGGGGCATCGTATTTTGAAAAATCATTGCTCGTTACACCCTCAAGTATGAAAGCAAAATAAAGAAGACTTGACAAAGAGGTACTTGGATCTGCAGTTTACATGTCCCAGAAGGGAGACCCACACAAGTGTGCACATGCACATACAGATAGATAAATAAATATTTTTTTTTCATTTGCAAAACTCTTTCATCCATGGAACCTCTCACTGTGGAATTCTCCCTTCACATAACGAGGGACAGTGAATTTTGTTTTTAAAACTATCAGGGTGCATCTCCAACTAAGCATTTCAAAATGCATAGCTTTTCAAAACCTCAGGTTTGGGTTAAAAAACAACCACATTCCCTGACCGAGGAACCATACCTGTGACTTGCACCTTTCTGCAGGGGGCAACAGAGCATCGAACTCCGCAAAGAAGGTTGAAGAGGTGCTTAGGCCTCTCAGCTCTAATCTGACCCTTCTGTGTGCTCCTGGGCACCCAGGACCACCTGAATAGTCTTAAGACTGAGGGATCCGCCGTCTTCCAAGGGTGCAGACAGGCTTCAAAAAGTTGCTATTAAATGGGAGCTATGGAGATTACAGGGTGACATTAACCATCATTAAGAGATTTCAGTGTGAATGAGCCCGGCAAGCCTTCCCACGTCTGGCTGAAAAGGCCCCTCAGACCAAAGTTGAGAGATAATTTTATAAATACTTGTACTTGTTGGGGGAATTTGTCTGACAGACAGACCACATGTATCACCTTTACAAAGACACCACCATGGCTACATTTCAGCACTCCCCGCTTTCCAAACAGCACGCACCAGCATGTCACACAAAACCGCACCACTCATCTGGGCAAAGAGGCCACGCCTGTCTGCCTCACTTTAAAGAAATTAGCTCAGTTTTCTTAAAGAACAGAGCCTCCACTCTTGAGGGCCCTGTTCACTACGTGGCGTGCGTGCTTTTGATCTTTTGTTTTTAGCTTAAACGTGACAAGATATTGGCAAGTACGAGGAAAGAAAGCCTTCTCCCTGGGAGGAGAGGAGCCCTTGCAGCTCAGCAGAGGGCACTGTGTGAGGCCTCTGCTTCTCTGAGGCAGAGGTGTTGGCGGTGGAGAGCTGGCGAACTGCTCAGTCAGCAGCTGTGTTTGCTGCTCCTGACAGTCAGGGCCACAGGACCAGAGGCTTAGCCTCGGCCTGCACCCTAAAGTTTGTGTGGCCACGCTACCACCAGGGTCAGACAGCGGTTTTTGTTTGTTTGTTTGTTTGTATGTTTTCCCACTGCAGAACTCTGGCTGCACAAAAAGCCTAGAAAAATGTACCCGTCTTCCAGTCATATTGAGGAATCTTGAATCACCAAGATGTTTTGGTTTTTTTTTTTTTTTTTTTTTTTTTTCTTTTCGAGACAGGGAGACAAGGTTTCTCTGTGTAGCTTTGCGCCTTTTTTTTTTGCCAGGAAGACAGTCAGTCAGCTGTGCCTGCCACATGCTTCATTTAAAATTTCTTCATTAAATTCTTTGAAAGAGGATTTTTTTTAAAAAGTCTCTTTTCAGAAATATGGGGTTGAGTATCATAAGTATTTAAAAAGGGGCAAAATGGACAGCTAGACTCCGATTGCAGTGAAACTTCCTAAACAAGGCTCTTGGGTAATGTCTCCTGCCCGTGACCCACTCGAACCCTTTCCCTATGCCAAGGGAGAAGCTGGTGAGATTCAGTCATTGAATCTGACCCACTGAATCCTTGTTTTATGAATGCGGCCAAGGCTAAGCTAGTTTAATTGGTCTAGCTCCAGCGGGCATTTTTAGTTTATTTCACCTTTAATAATTAGCATTCAATTTGTGCTCCCTTAATGAGATGAAAATTAAAGTTTCCACGTTTAATTCCGTATTTTCATGCTTGCCACGCTTCAGGAGTTTTCGTGAATAAACACTGGTATCAATGGGCCTCCAGGAAGGGCTGCCATAAAAGGCCATGGAATTGTTTACAAAGCTCAGTGCTGTTTGGAAATGGGGGGGGGGGGATGGCTCAGCTGGGGGAAGGGCCCCATCTCTGACCAGGACAAACCTAGAATGGCTTTTTGGATGATCTTAATAATTTCTCTTCCAGGAAATTTCCTCCTCTCATTGGAACTGTTTCAGTTCATTAATAATCTGGCTTTTACTAAATAAAGAAAAGCTCTCTCTCAGAACCAGCAGATTCACTCTGCAAAACCACCCTGACTTCCTGGAAGGGAGATGCCTATGCTTGCCTTTGGGTCCTCACTAAATAGAGATACTTTGGTGTGAAATCTGTCACGGTGGAATCCGGATAGAATCGGCGTTTCACCAGTGCCCACACTGTGGTTAGATAGAAAAGAATTCTCATCGTTCTATTACTTAATCGACTGACTTTAGAACCATTGTGAAGTCGACATAAAATGCTGACCGGAGAGGGGAAGGCAGCACTATCTGATGCTCCTGTGGGGAAAAGAGTGGAGCCTCTCCATGGCCCTGCAGGGCAGTGAGGGTGCAGGAGACAGAGCCGCCATCCAGGGAGAGAAGTTAGGCCAGGCCACTGCAGGGCTGGGGTGGGTTTTAATGAACAGAAAATGTGCTGTATTTTTAGGAAGGCAGGTCTTGCCCTGGGGGCTCTGAGGAGGTGTCCAGGAATATTTCAGCATACCACACTTTGCAGTGGCAATTTCTCTCCAAGCTGGTTCCCAGTTTGTGAAAACCCGAAAAGGGCCATATTCGGTTACCTTTTGATTCATTTCTGATACCCTGGCTGTGCCTGAAATGCTAAAAATGGCAGTTCTGCATCCACACTCCGGGCCAAAGGAAGGGAGGATGCTGGCTTCTGAAAGGAAAGATTTCTTCCTCTGCAGGTTGTCTTATGGACAATGCTACAGTAAAGCACACAGGGCTAGGCCAGCTTGATGGGGGGACACAGGATCACTGTGCCAGGTGCCAGCTTCGCTAAGGACAGTCTCCCATTCACAGCTGAGGGAAGCATACGAGGTGTCCCCTTAGCCTACCAAGGGGGTTAAGCTTTCAGACCGGGGTTGAGATGTGGCTAAAAT